CAATAAACAAATTACCGTAAAATTTTTAAAGTTTACTTCAGCTTCCATTTATTTCCAGGAATTTCCGCATACTTCTGTTAGTAGCATTCCAGTCTTTAATAATAAAATGAGGGTGCAAAATGTCTTTCACAAACTAAATCTGTTGATTTGCAAAGTACAGTATATCTTTTCTAAGAATCATTCGCCGCCATTTCATTGATAATTTTAGAGATCCCTTACTTTTCCTTTCTTATACCGTGGTTTGCATCATGTGTGGATTATTATTATTATTAATTAATTTTCAATTGTTCAGCAATATATTAACTTCCACAAGATTAATTCTTACAGCTGATACAAAAGGTAATAATTTAGCTCTTATTTTCAAGTTTAATGACATCGCAGTCTTCATAATGTAGAAGAGTTTTTTTTAATGTCTAGATAATATATATATACAGTATATATATTTAGAATTTTATAAAATCTTCAATACAAAAATAATATAAATTTCCTGTGAGAAAAAAATAGGAGTTGATTCTATAAAATTTTAAGTTCTTAAACTTAGAGAAAAAAATAAATTGAAAGAATACAGACAATATTTATCATGAGTTAAATAATTTATGTCAAAAATAAAGGAATCTCAATTATTAATTTATCAACTGACAACTACAGTATTAGTATTGCAATTAAGAATTTAATAGTGCAATAATAAAAGAATATATTTCGAAATCTAAAATGAAAAATGTATGAATTATATGTTTTAGAAATATAGAAACAAAAATGCATTAATACAAAAAGAAATTTTTAAAATTTTTATGTTAAAACAAAAATGAGTTCTATTATGTTTATAATACATCTATATCATTTATATTTTACAATATTGTTTATCTAGAAAAACAATACATCTGTATTTAATTAGTAATAAAGTATATAACATCATATATATAACACTTTTGTACGCATAATTAGTCTACGTGTGAAAAAATTAAATTATATTAGAAAAATGTCGATCTAAAAGTAATAATTATCCACATAGTCTCAATAGTAAGTGATTATAGAATAAATTCAGATTATCTTGTAATCTAAACCACACTATTTGTGTTTAAATAATATTTTACTAATTAATATAAAGACTCAAAAATTTGTTTGTATTCGCTAGTCTACGAAGTTTTTCCTTAGCGTTGTGGAGCAATCGTCGACTGTCCATCTAATAGGAACAAATTGTCATCGATAACTTTATTTCGTAGAGTTGCATGACCAGTAGAATATACGGACCATGACTCAAAGGTCTATTCTTACTCACGACTGCCACAGCATTTTGTGGTGGCGTTAATGAAATGTAAACAATATGGCTACGAATCGAGGACAGCGTGTGGATGTCTTTTAAACTTCATATAAAACAATGGTTCGATATTGCTTTGTGCCCCAGTGCAAATATAAACATGGAGATTATTATAATGAACAGAAAATTCTCTTTTACAAGTTTTCAGTAGAAAGAATATTAAGAAAAGCATAGAAAGTATAACAAAATCGATGATTATTTCTCGGCAGTTGAATAAAGTTTTTCAGTATAAGCTGCGACTTATTTGACCTACTATATACAGTATAAAAAAAGAACACATAATACCTACTTAATCTTTACTAAATTAGGCAAGTAGGTAGGTACCTAAATTGCAAACCAAGCCTTTAAATTAATAAGAGATCGCAAATAAAAATTGATAAATCATTTATGACGGTTTTCATTGCCAGAACAAGTAAAAAGTAAAAATGGTTATATTCATTTGTGAACAATTATCTAAGCCTTCAGATGTAGATTATCTAGGAGATAAATGTGTACTTCAATTCTCCATTATAATTTTAGTAAATGAAAGACAGTAGACCACCCTATAACACTGTAGATAATTCCGTGTTATATGAATTCCATGTTGTACAAGTCACTTAGATTTTACAAATACGTGTGCCGGGCTGTGAACGGCTTGCGTATTTGTACTGGACTAACAAACTTACGGAGAATTACATTGTCTGCCCAACAAGATTCACTTGCATCAGGCAGCCATTGATAACTCATTAAGACAAGTAAAAATTATTATGAATGTCATTAAACAGCAATATACAAAACCCGTGGCGAGAAACTTAAAATAATTAAATAAAAAACACGACCAAATAGGAGCAGCAGCCACAAAAGGTGGCTTTACTTGGTGAGAATTATGGTGTGCACCGCATGCTTGCTTTAGTGAATATCGTAATTTTCTAGGCTGATATGCTATGGTAACTACAAAGAAACCTTACGCGTTATAATGGGCAAATGGGTGCTTGCTGTGGGTGGCAAGGTCTTTAAAAATAGATCTGAACACGAACGTTAACTTATGTATGGAGTCGCCATTTTCAGACTTTTTCAATAGTGCAGGTTTTAAACAAACTAGTACGAGCAGTTAATTTTATACGATATTAAACTAAAATTACATAAATCAATGAGATTCCAGTCTAATAATCATTTCGGAGATTATGCAACGATAATTTTATGTAATTTGATCAAAATGGTTTAAAATAACGAACATCCTTATCATTTGTTGTTTTGATTGAAACTAATCAAATTAATAATTGCTTTAGTTTTATCACGTATGTAGGCATTTCCTAAATCAATAATATCAATGAAAAATCAAAGGAACTATACCTCTATATGTGACACTTATACCTAGAAATCAGCCTACAGCCTACTTCCAAGCGCTATACGAGTCACGCTGCGTGCTCCTCTAAACAACTAAATCATTAATCAACTTGTTTTTAATACTAAAAAACAATAAATAAATAAACAATTTATTTTTTAAGCGGTCCAAAAAAGTAGTAAGTCGCACAAATGTAGTGGCTTAATTAAACGTACAAATATCTCAATCTGCCACTCGTAGGCCAATTTGGCAATCTCGAAAACCAGCCGTATTTTATAAGATAAGAAAAAAAAGGGGTAGTCCATGGGTAAGATGACACCCGAAAATGTGTTACTGTAAAAGCAAAGTCATATTGACCGTATTAGAGTTGTTCTTGGTCTATTGTTCTCTTATATCATGGAGGTACTATACTTCGATTTAAACGAACGAGTTAACATATGCATATGACATTTCCGATAGTACTGTACTTTCACTTCGAATTTCGAAGAAGCCGAATCCCTTAACACGTAAATATCTATATTGCGACAGGGACAAAAGTACATTTACGAACTAACAGGATTTCGTACTATCCGAGTTCGAATTAACAAGGATTTCCTGTATTATACTATATTACAGTATTACGAAAAATTGTTGAGATCGTATACATAAAANACTGTTATTGTATACCATATTTTTAATAACGTATACAATAGATTGTGTGCATACTTTTCACAAATAAATTGTCTGAGATTAGATTATACTATAAGAATTGAGACTTCTTAAATAGAAAGAAGCGTCGGTAAAGTTATTATTCAATATAAATAGTGTACAAATATCAAAAGCGTACGATGATTCTACGTTCTTTGTTATTTAAAATTATGCTATATCTTTCATTTTGATTATTATTTTATCTGAGGATTTAACTGTTTCAAATTACTTAGAATTTTTGTTATGATTCTAAAGTTGAAAATTTTATACGAAATTTTGTAAATATTATAAGTCTGCGCAGCGAAAGAGTGAGCTGATAGAGTCCATCAGATAAAAGATATGAAAGGTGACACGTGTCTATTCCCTTGAGAATTGACACATGATGTGATCTTTCAGCTTTTTTGTTTTTTACATTTCTAAAACACTTTTATGCCGTGTTAATCATAACTGTATTCTTTTCTTTTATTACAAATTTTATTACTTACTCTTAATTATAACGTTACTTATTTGTTAATACAAAATACATATTGCCTTTCATCCCTTTCAATTGACATTGATCTTTCCACCTCAAGCTAATTCACGTCTACTCTTTTGCTGTGTGAATTATAGTAGTTTAAATTTTNTAAAAAGAAACCTTACAGTACATGTAAATTCAAATTTCTAAATTTGCTTATCTTTAGCATCAATTAAATGTTAAAGATAATCAAATTTAAACTTATATTACCATCTTCATTTAAAATTTTAATAAACTTTTAAGTTTTCAAATTTCTGAATAAATATTTTCAAGAATTGATAAAATTGTTCCGCATAAAAAGAGACCTTACAGTAATTAGTTTACTTGATAATTCGAAATAATCACCGATGGCCAAGTTGATAAAACCGCCAAACACTGGTTGTTCGTCGCGGATTCACCCCTCACCAATATGGAGTTTTTGCAGGTTTTCTTTACGTATATAACATATAAAGAACAAATCATCTATAACTATTTACATTATTCTATTTTTTAATATTTTTAAACTATTGAATAGACGAAAATATTTTTGATTTATTGTTATCAATTCAATCAAAATTACTATTAGTCAAGAACAGCGCTGCTGTCAAGAAATGGGACACTGAAAAAAAAAATTAAAATAGATTTACATTAGTAACGAGATTTTTACGTCACACTTATTTTAAATACGGTATAAAAACATATTTATATAAAGAAATAACTTTCTAGACGAATAAATACAACGTGAAATCTTTTAGAGTAATTCATTTATATAGATTAAGGACATATTAAGGTAAATATATTTTATGCAGATTTTTATTTATATTTTTAGGTAAAATTTTACATACTTGATATAACTACAAGGGTGAGTCAAAAATTATCTGCAATGTTGACATAAATCTATAATCGATTTACATTAGTAACAAGATTTTTACGTCACACTTATTTTAACGGTATAAAACATATTTATATAAAGAAATAACTTTCTAGACGAATAAATACAACGTGAAATCTTTTAGAGTTCATTTATATAGATTAAGGACATATTAAGGTAAATATATGAATATTCTATGCAGATTTTTATTTATATTTTTCGGTTAAATTTTATATACATCGTAATATTATATTTCCAAAATAAGCATTATAATGTTGTAAATATAATAATCTATTCGATCTGTCGTGCTTTATATAGAAATATTAATAAATATAAATTTTTAGGAAAATAATTAAAATAATTTTACTCTACTTTCAGATTATGATCTTAATTATATTTATTTTATACGTATTTTTGTCAATTATGAATAAAGGTATGTATTTTTTTTTAAATTAAATAAAAGCCACAATAGAATTAAGTTATGTCAATAGAGAATAAGATTATTTATTGTTATTTTTATTTAATAAATGAAGAAACATTATAAAAATATTCCTATGTTACAGATGTGTTAAATAGCACACTGTTATTGTATACCATATCTTTAATAACGTATACAGTAGATCGTGTGCATACTTTTCACAAACAAGTTGTCTGAGATTATATTACTGTATACTATAAGAATTGAGACTTTTTAAATAGAAAGAAGCGTCGCTAAAGTTATTATTCAATATAAATAGTGTACAAATATCAAAAGCGTAAGATGATTCCACGTTTCTTATTTAAAATTATGCTATATCTTTCATTTTGATAATTATTTTATCTGAGGATTTAACTGTTTCAAATTACTTAGAATTTTTGTTATGATTCTAAAGTTGAAAATTTTATACGAAATTTCGTAAATATTATAAGTCTGCTCAGCGAAAGAGTGAGCTAATAGGGTCTATCAGATAAAAGGTATGAAAGGTGACACGTGGATATTCCCTTGAGAATTGACACATGATGTGATCTTTCAGCTTTTTTGTTTTTTACATTTCTAAAACATTCTTATGCCATGTTTATTATAATTGTATTATTTTCTTTTATTATAAATTTTATTACTTACCCTTAATTATAACGTTACTTATTTGTTAAATACAAAATACATATTGCCTTTCATTCCTTTCAATTGACATAGATCTTTCCACCTCAGGCTAATTCACGTGTACTCTTTTGCTGAACAAATTATAGTAGTTTAAATTTTATCTGGCACTTACAGAATCAATCGCGGATATACCTTGTCCTCCATTTTCCGAGCACATTGTCTTTGCCAAGGCCAAAATTACTCCAGTTCCTCCAACTTATTTCCTCTTATACACAAGAAAAAATCCTTCATACCCTAATTATTTGACAGATGAAAATAGTTTGTTTACTTCAAATTTTAATTCAGAACTAAAAACAATTATGATTGTACATGGATATGGGGAAAATCTTAGAAGTGAAGACGTCAACGTAAGTACATTTACACGTATAAATACTTTACAAACTAAGTTATATAGATATCTTGCACCTATGATACTTTTAATACAAACATAATACTTTATATCAATCTAAATATTATTTAGTTCTTGAAAACAGCTTTTCTGCATTACGAAGATTGCAATGTCATTATAGTGGATTGGAAAATAGGAGCCTTATCCCTTACTATACCAAAAGCTATAAGAATAACTCTTGTGGAAGGGAAATTCATCGCCGAACAACTAGAAAGATGGAAAGTGAGCATTTTATTATTACTGTACTAAAATTTATATACATATATTTAATTTCTTTTAATTTTATATTTATTTCTACATGAAAGAAATCTATAAATCTCGATTTTAACAAATTCCACATCATTGGATTTAGTCTCGGTGGTCAAGTAGTAGGTTTTATTGGAAAATACATAAAAACTGCAAAAATTGGAAGAATTACAGGTAATAATTAATAACATAAAACATTTAAATTTCTATTCTTTATATTATTTACATTTTATTTTATTTATTTATATACAGGTTTAGATGTTATGGGTGCGTGTTTTTCAAGTTTTTCACCGAGACACAAGCTTCACTATTCAGATGCAAAGTTCGTAGATGTCATTTCCACATCAAGTGCAAGTTAGTGGTTTTATCTAGGTACCAAATATCTGATTTTTTATATTTTTATTAATGTTTACATGTAACATTATAAATATTTAGATCAAGTTATTACCGGAAAACCGACTGGACATTTGCATTTCATGATTGACGGAGGTCTAGTAGGAAGAGGATGTAAAGACAACGTTGCCAACTTTGATTTGAGTACAGTTTCATTATTTTATTTATTTTTATTAATTAAAACAAGGTTTCCCTACTTAAAGTTTCGTTATTTGAAGCATTCTGTAGCTGTAACCAATAAGCGTATTGATACTAAAGTTAGTGAACAACATATGCAAAAGATGCTAAGAAAGGTCTTGCAAAAACTTTCATAGGAGGTGCTTTGGCATATGCTGTTTTGCATAGCCAGTATCATAGAAAGTGGACAACTTTGGCTTACTTAAATGATAATATTAATTTTGACTCACAGAAAGAGAAGAGAGCAGTTTTCTTTGAGAGTTTTCTATTGTTAGAGAGCGGTTACTGTCAGCTATAGAACACCATGTTTATTGCCTTCAAATTTTACACCTGAACAATGAAGCACACATAGATCAACATTCTTTTTATTAAAAAATAATGAGTATAAAAAAACTATACAATGGGGTTGCATATTTTAATTTAGTAAAAAATATATAAAAATACGAGGAAATCCCTCAGCCTGTTTCGACTTTGAAAGTGATTCAAACAACAAGGAATGGATTACTTTATTTTTACTTTTATCATGCAATTATAATTTTTTTAAGAAACGTATTTCGCCAATGTGACGACGCTTCGGCCTTTTTCACTGATACAATTTAATCCAGATGCAGTGTATTTATTAATTTTTTAAATTGCTTATATTAGTAAATGACCTCTAAAGACGGCATAGCCATGTATGAACAAATAAATAGAGTTTTCGTTCTTTCATTTCGTATATTTTACTGTAACATTTGGTGGAAGTGCAGTAATCGGTTACAACTATAAAGTGCTCTAAACAAAGAAAATTTATAACACTTTATATCTAGCTACAATTTTAACTTTTAGAACTAGAGTATGTATGTTTAAAAATTCTATACTTTATGACAGATACAAGTTTTATAAAAGGTATATTCGTTGGATTATATTCGGCAATTATCCGGTTATTTTTTTGTTCTCATATGCGAGGATTCTACCTGTTTGCATCCACTCTTTATCATCCCGAGTTTCTTCCCGTGGCTTATAAATGCAAGGATTATGAAACTTTTAAGAAAGGAAAATGTAGCGAATGCGGGACAGATGGAAGGAATTGTGCGGCAATTGGGATTCACGCCGAAAAATACGCGGATAAAATAATAAACGGCACTGTAACGATGTATGCGGCGACAACATTTACCGACGGATATTTCTGTGAGTCAAAATTAATATTTAATATTTGATAACATGTTTAATTAATCGTTTCAAGTTGTAATTGATTTTCAGTATATCAGTACCACGTGGAAGTGACTTTCGGCTTTACTGCAGACACCACTATTGAAGTAGGAAAATTAGTGTTGATTATTAATTCCAAAATAATTAAAATCTTGGATAAAGAGTAAGTAAATTGCTTTAATTATTCATAATAGCTTTGTTTAATCATTTTATAAAATTCAAGTTTACTGTAAAATATAATTCACAGCTTATATATTCAATATGTGAAAAGTATATTTAAACCCGGAGCGACTTATACCTATTTAATAACAACTACTCACGATCTGGAGCCAATAACAAATCTTAAAGTATTTTGGTATAGTGTGCTACCTCGTAAGGATAATAAATTGTATATTCAGTGCGTGAAAATAGTACCCATGAATAATCTACAAACGTGAGTTTTATTTTATATTATTATATCTAAGTAATAATTTATAAAAAAAAAACTGTTAATTATTAGTATTGCTGTTATTTTAAATAATGGGCATTTATTTGTATTTCAGAGATCGTTTAAAGTTAACCACATTTGGTACTACAAACGGAGAAGGTATTCTTCCTCATCACATTGTAAAATTGTATTTAGGAAGACGTTGCGGACCTTATTAAACACTTTTCTTAATATTATCTTTATATATTTTCTCTTCCATTTCTGAGTCTAGGCACTAAGCTGATCGATGGGCCTCTAGGCCTAGAGTAGACCCAACTAGGCCTACAGTCGGACGACTTCTCGAGAGGATCTTTTTATGAAATTCTGGTCTTTAGATTTTAGAGATTCGAAGAATATTCGAAAGACTTCACATAGTTATATTACGGCCAAAATGCAAAAGGTTACCTTTATTTATAAACCTAGTAAATTTGGCTCAGCCGACAGAGTTATAATGATATAAGTCACTGTGATTTAGATATGGCCTCTGCGACCTTCACGAAAAGTTCGATGAACTTAATGTTAAATTTGAGAAAACCTGCAGTAAAACGTAGCAGTAAGGAATTAAACATTAAATTAAATTAAAAACTATCCCTACAACTATTTTGGTTCTTAAATTCTGTTAAAAATTTTTAAATTACTAAAAATTTTGTTTGTTTGAACTTCAGATAACTTTGGCAAAACACTTACTTATGTAACGTGCATTTTTACTTTAAAATTATAAGAAATATTTACAAATCTGCATTTAAATATTTTATTCTTAATCAATTTCTTCATTCAGTAATGCTTAAAAGAAACAAAGAACAGATGAATTTAACAGTAAAATCCACCGAAAATAAAATAAAAATAAATGCTATATGAAACAAACTCTAAAAATACAAGAAAACAGGAAACCTTATGGTGTCTCGTACTTCGAATTTAATTCATTCCAGGAGGCCGTTCGAAATCCGAATTAATTTTTCCTATTAGAAATAATGGAAAACGAATTAATCCATTCCCACATCCTAAACAATACCCATTTTGATTAATTTAAAACAGCAAATACACATAATTTAAGGTAAAAACAATACAATTAAATACCCTAATAATAAAACACTAAGCAAAAAAGAAAATACACAAATTTCATATAATATAAAATGAAAATTGCATTAACTGATCGCACACCGTTGACACCATCTTAAATATGGCCGCCAGATTACCACGTGTAGACTAATTTTAAAGTTTATGATCTATTTAACCGATAGTTTTTGCATAATTTTGAAAATTGCCGTTACTTATTATAGGTGTATAATTTAATTATAAATGTTGTGGAATATAAGACGTTGTTACTAATGTGAGATTGCATTCATTATTTAGAAGCTTATTTTAAACTTTTTACTTAAACGCTTCAGCGTGAAAATAATAGTACAAACATTGAAAATGATGTCGCAGTCGCAAAACATATACATATGTAATTTCATTGTATGCAGACACCACAAAAGTAAATAGACAATAAAATAAGGATTCAGAAGTTTAAACAAAGTTTGTTTCATATTTCGTATTTCAGTTTTCAAAGCTTTGATCAAATTTTACCATTTTACTCCATTTAACAATTACCAACTTAGTAACATATGAATAGTGGCTGAGAAACAACAGGCTCCCGGTTTGTTTTCTCGCACAACGTCTAATTTTTAGGAAGGAATTTCTGACGTTAAGCAG